GTGTGAGTGCGGCTGGCAGGGCAGCTGGGTGCCAGATCATAAAGGACTGGGCTAAGGAGTTTGAACTCTAATATGACATGAGCGACTAGCCACCGAAGGGTATTAAGCAGGGAACTGACATGACATCAGATAGATCCTAGTGCATAAAAGCTATAGTAATGTAGGTCCAGTGGGACAGTGGCCAAGACAGCTATCTTAAGACAGTCAAAGAAGTCCCTTTAGATGGGGGGACATTCCAGGGGATGTCTTGAGGCTAAGGACTATGCTCCACCTGTGTGGCATGTCTCAGGAGAACATTTGGAGGTCTGTGCCACAGAAATCCTGGACTGGAGGATATCCTGGTGGTCATCGGCGGGGAAAACTCGGTCCCAGAATGAGTGACCAGCAAGGTAGAGGCTGTTCTGGAGCTGAGATCTTGGTGTTCTAACTCTCCTTCTCTCTCTGCCACAGGATCCAGCGCTGCCTCCCTGTACCCTGTGCTCAACTTTCTGCTCTACGTGCCTGAGCTTGCCCACTCGCCCCTGTACATTCAGGACAAGGATGGGGCTCCAGTGGCCACCAACGCCTTCCACAGTCCCCGCTGGGGTGGCATTATGGTAAAAGTCACACTCTGAAGACCCCAGAGCCCAGGCTTCAGGGACAGACAGACAGACATGCCCTGAAACTGCTTCTTCTGTTTTTCTTCTGGGGTCCTCATGCCTTCGGCCTCCTCTGCCAGCCCTGCTGCTGCTTATTTCTGCCCTGTAACCATCTTGCACTTACCAAGGCCATCCTGTGACCAGCTTAGATATTGGCTCTATCTTTGGGGGTCTTGTAAGATTGGGAACCTTGTCCCCTTGTGAGACTGGGAGTTTCTCATGGGTGAGAACTGTAAAATGAGATTTAAAATTTTCTTTTACAGGACTTTCCTGGGGTCATTGAGATAATTTATTTTTCCTTTTATATTATGTATTCCCCAAAAATGTCAGCTGTTTCATTGGGTTTCTAGTTTGTTTGTTTTTAAAGATTTATTTATTTATTTGAAAGTCAGAGTTATACAGAGAGAGAAAGAGAGGCAGAGAGAGAAAGGCCTTCATTCCACTGGTTTACTCCCCAAGTGGCCACAATGGCCACAGCTGCGCTGATTCGAAATCAGGAGCCAGGAGCTTCCTCTGGGTCTTCATGCAGGTGCAGGAGCCCAAGGATTTGGGCCATCTTCTACTGCCTTCCCAGGCCATAGCAGAGAGCTGGATCAGAAGTAGAGCAGCCAAGACCCGAACCAGCGCCCAAATGGGATGCTGGCACTGCAGGTGGTGGCTTTACCCACTACGCCACAGTGCCGGTCCTGGGTTTCTGGTTCTAATGAGCAGGGAATATGTCTTCCTTTTCCTTCATGGCCTCTGAATTGCCTAGGGGAGAGCTGTGCACCTGTAGGGGTGTGGCAACCTCAGGCTCCTTCTCCTTCTGCTTTCAGGTATACAATGTTGACCCCAAAGCCTACAATGGCTCCAGGCTACCAGTGAGAGTCGAGGTGGACATGGTACGAGTGATGGAGGTGTTCCTGGCGCAGTTGCGGTGAGGTCCTGGCTATCTACTTGGGGTGTCCTCTGTCTCCCTGATGACCTGAAGTTGGCCAGCTGCCCCCTGAGATCGTCTGCTGGGCTGCCGAGAAGGGGGCTGCCGAGAGCAGAGAAATCTCACTTGGCAGGAATGTCTTGGCTGTGTCTAGAGCCCCAGGGAAACTGAGAAAGGTTTCCAAGGAGCTCTGTGTCCTCCTCTTGAGGAGGATTAGCAGGTGACAAAACCTGTTTTAAGAAAAATAAGTTCATGTACTTCAGATCCCTGGGGTATGATTAGGGGTGCTTAAGAAGATAGCTGGCAATTCTTACGCGAACTGATCCACTGAGAGTGGCAGTCTGAAGTCCTGTGTTCTGAAGTTGTGTCTGGGCTCACCAGGAGAGTGTTCCGAGTGATTAGTAATGTCTGTCGTGGGTACAGCTTACAGAAGCACAGCACATGTGCCATGTCAAAGGTGGGCTTGCATCATCTCTTAACACCAAGTCCCACTGGCCCCATTTGTCCAAAGAGAGTAGAAAGAGTGAGGGAATTCAACGGAGTTGGTGTTAGAAATACTTTTATTATAGAACCTTTGTCCTTTGTTTTTCTTTCTTTTTCTTCTTTTTTTTTTTTTCCAGATTTATTTTGTCTATTTGAAAGGCCACAGTGGCTAGGGCTGGGTCAGGCTGAAGCCATGAGCCCAAGCTCCATCTGGGTCTCCCACATGGGTATTGGGTCCAAGTACTTGGGCCATCTTCCATTGCCTTCTTAGGGGCATTAGCAGAGAGCTGGATCAGAAATGGAGCAGCTAGGACTTGAACTGGCATCCATATGGGATGCCAGCATCACAGGTGTTGGCTTTATCCACTGCACCATGGAACTTTTTTTTTCCCACAAGATTTTGGAAATCTAATAAAGAAACAGTGGAAATGCAACATTCTGGTTGAAGCAGGGACTGGGGGCTCTGGATTGCTTGGCGTTGCTGCTCACCTTCCGAGACCCTGAGACACTTGCCACAACCCCTGTGGCTCTGGATACGACTGAAAATCATTGGCTTAGAGCAGGTATTACAGGAATCCTAGTCACAGCCTCCCACCTTCTGGTCTCAGCCACTTTGATCTTCTCTCCCTGTTTCTCCAGACTGCTTTTTGGGATTGCTCAGCCCCAGGTGCCTCCAAAATGCCTGCTTTCAGGGCCCAAGAGTGAAGGGCTGATGACATGGGAGCTAGACCGGCTGCTCTGGGCTCGATCGGTGGAGAACCTGGCCACAGCCACTACCACCCTCACGTCTCTGGCCCAGCTCCTGGGCAAGATCAGCAACATTGTCATCAAGGACGACGTGGCATCTGAGGTAAGCAGGCCTAGGATTGGAGTGGCCAGTGAGGCCCAGGGTGTGGCAAGACCAGAGAGCCAGCTGAGGCCTGGGATGAGTGTGGGCGTGCCACCCATGGTGCCCCTGGCTACCTGCAGACAGCCGTGCCAGCTCCCCAGCAGGAGTCACGATCGGAGAGAGGGTTCAAGCTGGACCTCAGAAAATAAGCCGCAGCCTTGTTAGCCTGACCTGCATAGATCCTTGGTGAACTCCAGGCCCCCTCCCTGATATACAGAAGGCCCAGTAAGGCCCAGTCCCCTTCCCCGCAATGGCCCAGGCCTTACTGCTAACCATCGTCCCCTCCCCTTCCTAGGTGTACAGGGCTGTAGCTGCAGTCCAGAAGGCAGCAGAAGAGTTAGCCTCTGGGCACCTGGCGTCTGCCTTCGTCGCCAGCCAGGAGGCTGTGACGTCCTCTGAGCGGGCCTTTTTTGACCCCTCGCTCCTCCACCTCCTCTATTTCCCCGATGACCAGAAGTTTGCCATCTACATCCCGCTCTTCCTCCCCATGGCCGTGCCCATCCTGCACTCCCTGGCCAAGATCTTCCTGGAGACCCGGAAAAACTGGAACAAATCTGAGAAGACAGACTGAGCAGGGCGGCATTTCAGCAGAAAGCCTCGCTTCTGGCCAAGGCGGGGAGGGTTCAACAGAGGCACGTGGATGGGGCTTCGGGGAGGGACTGACTGACTCTCCAGCAACCCAAGTACACCACTCCAAGATGGGCTCATCTTCCCTCCGCTCCCCAGTCCCTTGGCTCAGGTCCCTTCCCTACCTCCTTATCTGACTTGAAGGCCTCTGCCTGTCTCCCTGGAGGCGGGGGCAGCTCGCCTCTGCATAAAGCAGGGGAAAACCCTGGATTAGATTCTAGCCTGTTCCCCTGCGTTTCTCTCTGACCGCAGCAGAGGAGAGCGGTAGCGTTGCTGTCACGGACAGGGTATGGCACAGGTCACCTCCAGGATCTTCTGCCTGATTCCTCTCCCTTCTGGCTGACTTGTTGGGTACAGCCTGACCGGAGCCCAGGATCTGGTGCTGTGTGTAGCAGTTTCCCTTCATGCTTGCCGAGAGGCAGTGTGGTAAGTTCTAGACTCGGAATCAAACAGGCCTGAATTCATATCCTCGCTTCTGCAGTATTGTTTGGGGAGCTTTGGATAAGCCACTTAATCTCTCTGAGCCTGTTTTCCGTTTGTTCAAATGACACTGATGATACCTCCCTTCCAGGGCGGCTGTGAGGATTAAATGTGATAAGCACGTGAAAGTGTTTGCGCTCCGTTTGGCTCTTAGTACATAGTGAGTTTACTAGAAGTGGGAGCATGACTGTCGCTCTTTCTTCCTCCATGTCTAAAGGTTTTCTGATAAAGTACTCCTGCGCTCACAGGCCCACCTTGCCTCCACACGGCCATGTGCTCTTCCTGTCTCCAGGAAGTCCTGGAACAGCTCCTGCCTTTTAGTACCGTGTCTTGGAAAGAATAGCTTGTGCCAGTGTAAGCCCTCGGATACTCTTTCATCAGTTTGAAGAAAAAAAAAAAAAAATGTTTTGAGCTGCCAAGAGCACTGTGCTAGGCGCTGGGGTATACAACAAAGCAGACAGGATCTCTGCTTTCACGGAGCAGGCCTGTCAGGGGCAAGAGTCTGAACACATAAAAATAATTTCATAGTGCTTTAGAAAGAAAAAACACCAGACTGATCAGATAGTGACTGGGGGAGGGAGGCCTTAGAGGCGATGACATTTGAGCAGAGTGACACCAGAAGGCTGGGATGAGAGCAGCAGTGGAAAAGGATCCCAGGCGAAGGCCCTGGGACTGGAACTCGCCAGAAGGGCAGAAAGACTGGGACACAGCAGGTAAGAGCACTTAGGACCTCCAATACTTCTGAAAAAGTACTCAAAAATGAACAAAATCCAGGGCAGCCCCCGTCCGCCCTAGGTCGTCCAGCCCTGGTGGGCGTGGCCCCACCGGGCCTCGCCCCTGGGGCGGGTGGGTACTTGGGGGCCCCGGCCTGAGGCGGGGTTGGAAGTCTCCCCTCTTCCTCTTGGCTCCGTCCCGCGCAGGCAGAGGTATAGTGCCGCATGCAACTTGCGCTCCCCCGAGTCCATTAATGTCAAATAAAGCGGGGAGGCCCTACAGGGAGCGAATCCCTCCCCGGCCCCTGTGCCCGAGCCTGGAGCCCACGCTGGATCCGCGGGCTGAATCCGAATCCGGGTCCGAGTCGGAGCCAGAGGCAGGCCCGGGGCCCAGGCCGGGGCCGCTGCAGAGGAAGCAGCCCATCGGGCCGGAGGACGTGCTGGGGCTGCAGCGGATCACGGGCGGTGAGCGCCGGCGAGGGAGCGCCGCCCGCGGGCGGGAGGGAGAGCGAGCCGGGAGGGGGCCTGCAAGGCGCGCTGAGCCCCGGCCCCCGCCCCCTTTCTCGCCTCCCCTCCCCCACCAGGCCCCTCGCCTGTGTCCCCTACTCTACTCCTCTCCCTTCTGCCTGCAAGCCTGAGATCTCTGGGTTCCCCTTCCCTTGATCTCTCGGTACGCTCCCCCTCTTTTCTCTGGAGGTTTATTTCTAACCCATTTCTTCCCCTTTGAGAGTCTGTCGCTTTTTTTGGTGGAGGTGGGGCAGCATCTGCAACAGGGAGTCTTGGGGCTGGGAGGCCCGTCCGCACCAATGAGGGGGGTCACGTGCAGGGTGTCCGCCCACGCTGGGGGCCAGGGGGAGGCTGTTCCTGAGCCCACAAGACCCTCGGGTCTCCCTGAGCATTGGTGCCCCCATCCCATCTTCATCCCCAGGAGGGAACGAGCAGGAAGCGTCATTGCGCTGGCTGTGGGCCCTGTCATGGGAGCGGGTTAATGCCCCCCAAGCCTGTCCTCTCTGATCCCTTCCACCGTGGGTAGGAGTTTCTGAGTGTAATTGACTGGGTGACCTTGGACAAGTAGCTACACTTCCCTGAGCATGTTTCTTCATCTGTAAATTGGGGATACTGACACCGACTTCATCAGGTTGCTCTGAAAATAAAGAGCCGTCTGAATCTGAGCTCTGCTTGCACTATAAATAGGGCTCCTTTATCCATGCGTTGAGGGCCCCTCAGGGCTGCCCCTGGCTTCTGGGAGGCAGACAACTGGGCATGCAGGGCAGGGGAGAGGGCCACTCTAGGCAGAGGACAAGGGCCAGGACGCCTCCTGGCAGAGGCCACGGCTCAGCCTTGCAGAGACCATGGCCCTCCACATGGGATCGTTCAGCAGCAGCCCGGCCTGGCCCCCTTTGTGAGCAGCTCTGGGGCCTCTGTGTGGGGATGGGAGGCAGGCACTGGAGTGGACGTGAGCCCTGAGCTGCAGGAGCTGCAGGGCTGTGGAGGGACCCTGGTGGCAGGCCTGAGCATGCCTCTGGCTCCCTGGGGACCCCGCTCCCTCTGAGCTAAGCAGCGGGCATTCTTGTCTGGGCCCCCAGCGCGTGGAGCTCTCGTTCCTGTGGGTATTGAAGGTGGGAGAGGGCTGGAGCAGGCTGATGCTGGTGATGATTGGGCTGCGGTTTGCAGCAACAGCACCCAGTTCCAGCTTAGCTCTGGGACAGACTCCCTTATAGAAAATCGGAGGTCAGGCCGACCTGAGGCCCGGGCAACTTCTGGGGTTTGTTTTGTAACCATAGGAGGCTTCCAGCGCAGGTACTCCCATGTGTCTCCTAATTTGGAGGAAATGTCACAGCCCCGAGAGAAGGGGCATCCGTGGGCAGTGCAGCGGGCAGGTGTTCACTGGAGCCCTCCCTGTGCTGATCAGGAGCTACGTGCCGGTCTCTCCACCCTGCAGCCCTGGGATGGTCTCTTCTGACCCTAATCACACAGGTCTGAGGTTTGCTGTTCCAGGATTACCAGGCCCTGAATCCAGCTTAGGGAGCTATTTGTGGCTGAGGGGAAGGGAACAGTTGTGTTCCGAGCCCTAGGCCATCGTGACCCTGGGCCCCGGGCTGCATCCTCCCCTGGCAGAGGGAGGGAGCAGCCCCTGTTCCACGCTTCCTCTGCAACAGAGGGGTTGGCAGGTCGAGTCTGCAGTAGAAGAGACTGGGGCCAGGCTGCCAGAGGTTGCTCTCGAGCAAGTGGAGAGGCCCGGAGAGGTGGAAGATGAGGGAAGAGAGGGCTTCCTGGGGAGCTGGGAATTGGCTCCCAGGATCCCACTCCCAGCTCTGCCACCTCCCTTCCCTGTGGCCTGCACCGTCTCTCCATGAGGGCTCCCCATGGAGTTCATGGAAATAAGTATGATGGAGTCGCTGTGCATGGATGTCAGACTTCCAGTGCACCCAAGTAAACATTTGATTCCATTTTCCCATGGCCTTTTGAAGTACCCTTGTATACCTTGGGACTAGTGCTTACTTTCTATGAAAATCAGCATGGAGGTAAGAGTTACCCACGCCCATTCCCCCTCCTTTCCCCACCATGGGGCAGTGCTGGGCCCCATGGTCCCAAATGGCTGCCAGGGGGCTTCCTGGAGGGGGTTACCCCAGGCAAGGAGAAGAGGCAGACCTGGGGAAGAGAGAATGACTGTGTTCCCTTCCTCTTCCTGCCCTAGAGGAATAGGAGGTGACCCAGGGGCCTGGAGGGTAGTTTGCAGGCCTCTCGGGGCCACCAGGGGAGGGTGTGGTGCTGTACGGGATGGCAGCATGGGAGCCCCCCTGCACCGCTCTGCTCCTTCCTGTTCATCGGCCCCCTGAGCACCTGCAGTTGGTCAGCAAGAGCAGTGAGGGTTAGATCAGGCCCTGTATGTTCCTGAGCTTCCTCAAGCAGGGCCTGTCTCTGTTCCTGGTTCCCCTTAACCTCACCCACACCCTCTTCCTGGCCTAGACTCTCCTGTCCTCTGTGGGGTCTGGGGGTGCTTTCCCTGTGGCAAGGGGCTCAGATGGGTGGATGGGTGACGTCTCAGGGTCTTCCCTCTGTTTGCTAAGACTTCCTCCTGTTTGGAGAGCAACAGGGGATGGGAGCAAAGTTGGCTCCCTTTCCCCCAGTATCCTAGGCTCTGGGCTTGAGTCAGCAGAGCTTTGGCTAAGCTGCTTAAGAGAGCTGGGCTTGGATAAGCCGCTTATCGGAAGAGAAGGGGGGCTGGGAGAGAAGAAGAACAGAGAAAGGGTTTTGTACCTGCCTTGGCACCCCCCATTGTCAGTGAAAGTCAAATCACAACCATCCTTGCCTGACATATCTGGATGTGGTGGTGCCAGAGGTGGCCATGGACAGGGCTGTGTCGCCCCTTTTAGAGTGGAGTTCCCGAAGGTGGGGCTGTGTCTTCCCTCTTGGACCAGGGGCTCCCACTGGACTGGGCCCATTTGGCACAAAGGCATCCAGCCAGCCTGGCAGAGCTGAGGCTGAGATCTGGACCCTCAACTCCAGGGTGGAGGGGAGAGTGGGGGAAGGGCCCTGACTGTCCCTGATCCGCTGAGGCCAGTAGGATGGGGCTCTTCTTCCAGCTTAGGTCTCCGAGGCAGAGTTCTGTCTCTTCCAGGAGAAAGAGGTAGCTAATCCAGGCACCCACAAACTGGCAGCAGGGCTTTGGGGACCCATTGGTTGCTCAGCTGCCTGTCTCCCCTAGACTACCTGTGCTCCCCCGAGGAGAATATCTACAAGATCGACTTCGTCAGGTTCAAGATTCGGGACATGGACTCAGGCACTGTCCTCTTTGAAATCAAGAAGCCCCCAGCCTCAGGTGAGCAGGCCAGGTGGGCTGCTAAGAGGGGGAGGCAGGCAGGCACTGCAGAGAGCTCTGCCCAGCGACTTCTTGGGCTTCAAAGGAGTCGGAGTAGAGTTGAGGCTCGGATGCCAGGATCGTCCAGGATTTGCAGGCAGCCGGGCCTGTTTTCCTTGCCATACGTTTCTGGACTTGGACGTCTTGCCCCTTCAATCCCTGCCAGCCTGCCCTCTGCAGGCCTTTTTGGGAACTGCAGGCGGCTGCACCCTGCAGTCCACAGAACCTCATTTGAAATCTGACCTAGAACCCGCAAGTGGTATCATCATTTGACCAATGGTTCTAACCCTCCACATGTACTAGAATCTTCTGGGGAGTTGTCAAAAATTCAGACCAATGGAGCCATGGGGAGGAACCTTGGGTGGGCAAGGGCCTCAGCCTGACACCCACTGAGCCCCAGCTGGGGTACCTTGCAGAGCGGTTGCCCATCAACCGGCGGGATCTGGACCCCAATGCTGGGCGCTTTGTCCGCTACCAGTTCACCCCTGCCTTTCTCCGCCTGAGGCAGGTGGGAGCCACGTGAGTCTCTGGGCTGGGGTGCAGCAGCGGGTGAGGGGAAGGGTGGGAGGGAGCCCTTCCTGCCAGCCAGTTGGCTGGCTTGCCGGCCACACTGAGCCCTGCCCCTCCTCCTGCTTCAGGGTGGAGTTCACGGTGGGAGAGAAGCCCGTCAACAACTTCCGCATGATCGAGAGGCACTACTTCCGCAACCAGCTGCTCAAAAGCTTTGACTTCCACTTCGGCTTCTGCATCCCCAGCAGCAAGAACACCTGCGAGCACATCTACGACTTCCCCCCGCTCTCTGAAGAGCTGAGTGCGTGGGCAGGGAGTGTGGGGGGGTGCGAACAGAGACCAGGCTGGGGTGCAAGGGGTCCTGGTGGGTCTGACCCCCTCCCTCCCTCCTCTCCAGCCCCGCCCCCAAGTCTTCTGGATCAGGCACCGTTCCCACGTCACCTGTAGAGAAATGGGCAAAGTGGCTGGGAACTCAGGTGCCCCTGTCCTGCAGGGGCCCTGCTCCAGCTCCTGACCTTTGCCCTTGCCTGGCTGGGCCTCTCTTGCAGTCAGCGAGATGATCCGTCACCCGTACGAGACACAGTCTGACAGCTTCTACTTCGTGGATGACCGGCTGGTGATGCACAACAAAGCAGACTATTCCTACAGCGGGAACCCCTGACCCCAGCCGCAGCAGGCTCTGGACCCTGAGCCGGGACCTCCCCAACCCTCACCTCCCTACTCCAGGTGTTCTGCCTGGGGAGTGTTCGCGGATCCCCGGCCGTGGAGTCCGAGTCGGGAGGAAGGGTACCTGCTGTCTGCCAGCCACGCCCCTCAAGCGTGTGGGGTGGGGTGGCAGGAAGGCCTCTTGGGAGAGGAGCAGCCAGGACTTCCAGGCAGTTTCAGGATAGGTTTCCCTCCCCAGGCTGTGACTAGGTCAGGGCAGGATCCATTCCTTATTGCCTGCCCACCACCATCAGGCCATTTAGAGTCGAAAGTTCACAGACACAGATCCACAGTTGGGATCTGGCCCCATTGGCGGCTGAGACACTGCCTCAGGCGTAGGGGGGGACTGGCCCCCATTGCAGCCTATGGTAGGAGCTGGACCAACTGTACATAGTTTTCAATAAACTTTCTCCTTTTCTGTTCCCTGGTTTGGGCCATCTGCGTGGGGGGTGGGGGCAAGCAGTGCTGTCCCAAAGTAGTGAAAATCTCCCACCTCCTAGTGCCCTGTGACCCCAGTCCTCGTGCCCTCTGAGCCTCTTCGCCCGGACACCACCCTTAGCATCCAGAATCCATCTAGAAGCAATGTTTTAAGTCTGGTGGAGCCACCAAGGGTTTCTCCTGTGATGATGGAGACTGGCTGCGGGAGGGGAAGCACTGGCCTGGAACCAGCCAGTCCTGGCAGCTGAGTGGAGAGCAAAGGCCCCCAGCGGCAGCATGGGAGAAGGTGTGGGGAGACGCCCTGCCCCCGCCTCGCCCCCCGACCTCCGTGAGTCTTCACTGGAGAAGGCTACAGGGCTCAGCTGGGCCTGCCGCCATCTCTGCCCTCTGCTGTGTTGGGGAGCTCCCTAGCCTGGCCAACCCTGCCCCTAACACTGCTTTCAGCCTCTTCTCCTGTCCCAGAGCCAGAGGAGAGGGGCATGAGGTAAGCAGAGAGCTCACTTTGGGGTTCAGGCCCCCTTTGGAGGCCCCTGGTGCCGCATGCCCTCTGGGGACCTCAGAAGGGCTGGAGTTCAGCTGGTTCTGGGGAGCTCTCGCTGGGGGCCGGGATCTCTACTGACCTGGGTTCTAAAATGAGTGGGACACAGGGCAAAAAGCCTGTCCCTGGAACAAGCTGGCCTGGGTATTGTGGGAGAAGGCGCTCGTAAGCCCAGGACAGGAAGAGGCAGGGAGACAGCATTTGCACACTGAGGCTTGGAGGCAAGATTTGTCAGGTGTGTTTCAGCAGGAGTGAGTGTGACAGATCCGTGGAGCCTCTGAGCCAGGTGGGGAAGCCCCAGGAGGATTAGGTAGGAACAACTTGGTCAGATGGTCTCTGGCTGCTGGAAAGATTGAGACTAACTGAAATAGCTAAGAGCTGGGAATGCAGACCCAGCTGGGAGCTTTACACGTGCCTAGGTCATGTTTGAGAAAGGAAAGGTAGGCCCAGAGAGGTTAACTTGGCCAGCTGGTGTTGCCCAGCTGCTAATGGGCAGGGGCAGAGTTTGAATCCAGGCAGCCTGGCCCCATGCGCTACCATGCTAGAGACAGGGCAGTGTGTGTGTGTGTGAAGGGCGGGGGGTGCTTGCAGGATTTGGGTGAGTGTTGAAGGGAACTTGAATTGGGTCAGCATCCCAATTCTGAAACAGGGGAAGTTGAGATTTTTGTTGTTGCTGTACTTAGTGATCTAGTCGGGTCTTTAATATATTTGAAATGGACAGAGATCTTCCATCCCCTGGTTCACTCCCCAAAGGCCCACAACAGCCAGGGCTGGACCAGGCCAAAACCAGGAGCCTGGCACTCACTCGGGGTCTCCCCCATGGGTGGAAGGGACCCAAGTACTTGAGCTGTCATTTACGGCCTCCCAGCGTGTGCATCAGCAGGAAGCTGGATTGGAAGCCAAGGTGGGACTTGATTCTAGGCTCTCTGATGTGGGATGCGGGTGTCGCATACAGAGGCTTAACCCACTGTGCCACAACACCCACCCACTGGTTGAGATCTTCAGTGAAACCCTGGGAGTGGTGGCTGATTGCCTGTGGGGTTGGAGAAGGAAAGAGTGGGGCTTAATGCCTGGGATTCAGGATGCTTGAGGTGTAGACGCTGGGCTCAGGAATCCAGGCGGGACCTGAGGAGTTCAGGGTGGGACCTGCTGTGGCGTGGCAGAGGTGTCCTGGAGGAAATGACCAGAAGACAAGAAGCTTGGTCCCTGAGACCCAGAGGGGAAGGAGACTGCTGGAGGCGGTGGCTGAGACGATGGGGTGTTCAGCTGGCACTTCAGGCCTTCAGAGAGCAGGGGGCAGGAATGCCAAGTGGCCTGCAGTTTCTAGGACTCCCCTAAACCCTGCAAAGAGCACCCCCCCAACTGAGGGTTCTGGATGAGAGAACAGAGCAGGAGAGGAGCCAATGACGGTGACAGGGGAGCAGAAGCCTGCCTAGGAGGAGGCTGTGTGAGAAGCTACAGGAAGGAAGAATTTCACCAAGAAGCGGGGGGCCAGCAATGGTCAGTTGCCGTAAGAACGTGTGGGGGTGTTAGGCCGCAGACGAGGCTGCAGCCGCGCTTTCGTGGCGGCTGCCGCGGTTCACGGGTTGCAAGTCCGCAGGGGCGCTCTAGTGAGGAAGAACACCCTCCCCCACCTCACTGAGCTGCCCCACCGGACTGGGCTGAGGGTCTACACTGGTCTGCACGCCTCGGGCACTGGTCTCACTCGCTGCTCAGGGTGCCACTTGCTGCACTGGGTTCCCGACAGGCTCCCTGGACAGTACTGGAGGAGAAAGATCGATGGAGGTGGGGCAAGTCCTGGCTCTGATGCTGGTGAGCTGTTGTCCTTGCTGGAGCTGTAACTCAGGCTCCCCTTAAGTGGGCCAGTTGTTCTTCTTTTTCTTTTTTTTTTTTTTTAAGATTTATTTATTTATTTGAAAGGCAGAGTTACAGAGAGAGTGCACGTGCACGAGAAAGGTCCCCCATCTGCCAGTTCACTCCCCAGATAGCTGCAACAGCTGGAGGTGCGCCAGTCCAGATCCAGGAGCCAGGAACTTCAGTGTCCCCCACATGGGAGCAGGAACCCAAGGACCCAGGCCATCCTGCACTGCCCTCCTAAGACACAGCAGAGAGCTGGTTTGGAAGTAGAGCAGCTGGGACCCGAACCGGCACCTCAGGCGGTGGCTCCACTAGCTGTTTTCACTCTGACTTCTTAGAGGCTCATGAGGATCCTGGTGCACACGGGAAAGCCCAAATACCACAAGGAAGCCGACAGCCCATGCCCTCGGGGCTGCCTGCAGGGTGCACATTGGCACTGCCAAACCAGGTGTTAGAACTTAAAAAACAAAAAGTATTTACTTATTTGAAAGGCAATGACAGAGAAAGGGAGGAGAGAGCCCTTCCGTCTGCTGGTTCACTCCCCAGATGGCCGCAACAGCTGGGGCTGGGCCAGGCCAAAGCCAAGAACCAGGGACTCCATTCTGGATTCCCATGTGGGTGCCAGGGACCTAGCACTTGGGCTATCATCTGCTGCTTTCCCAGACTGGACGGGAGGGAAAGCAGTCGGTGCTCTGATATGGGGTCCCAGTGTTGCAGGCACTTAGCCTGCTGTCTCATGACTCCCAGCCCAGGTGTTAGAATTTTGAGGTGCTTCCCTTCTAGTTGGTAAAAGCAGCTGTCCTGAGCCTCCACAGCCTCCCCCCCTTGCCTGGCCCCTCTCCTAGGTGTCACCCACCATTTCCCTACCTCTGATAACTAAAGCAAGGGTGCTTTCTATTTTATGTACCACTGACCCTTTTGTTGTCAATCTGCTAAAACCTGTGGATAATAAATGCTTTTTAAGAGCATAAAATACATTGTCATCCTATATACTTGCTAAAATTTATTTCAGAGAGAGAACTCTCATCATTGGTTAGCTCCTCAAATACCTGCAACAGCTGGGGTTGAAACCAGGAGCCTAGAGCTCAACCCAGGTGTCCTTCATGAGTGGTGGGGGCCCAGGTACTTGCACCATCACCACTGCCTTCCAGGGTCTGCCATAGAAGGAACCTGGAGCCAGGAACTCCAGCTATTCCAATGTGGGATGTGGCTATCAACTGCTAAGCTAAATACCTGCACATGCATTCCTACGTATTTTTTGTACTAATGACTATGTAGGCATCTCTGTGTGTGTGTGTGTACTCTGCAATACCTATGGTGTGAAAATATCTACTTCTCATGACAAATCACAGGGACTGCTGAGACTTGTGTTGCTGATTTCCATAATCACAGGAATGCCAACAAGAGGTCAGTGAAAATGAAGATGTCACTATTTTTATCCAAGTTCTTGAACCATGATTTTTTTCCCTTAAGATGTATTTGTTTGAAAAAGCAGAGTTACACACACACACACACACACACACACACACACACACACACACACACAGAGTCTTCCATCTGTTAGTTCACTCCCCAAATGGCTCCAACAGCTGGGGCTGGTTGAAGCCAGGATCCTGAACTCCATCCAGGTCTCCCAAGTGAGTCCTTGGGCCATCCAAGGACTTTCCCAGGTGTGTTAGTATGGAGCTGGATCAGAAGTGGAGCAGCTGGGACTCAATCAGCACCCTTGTGAGATGTCAGCCTCTCAGGCGGTGGCTTAACCCGCTGCCCCACGATGTTGGCCCCATGAGTCTGTGAAGTTGAACCAGTTTTACCCCCACATTTAGAATCCCTGAGCAAGGCCGGCGCTGGCACTAGGCTAATCCTCTGCCTTGCGGCGCCGGCACACCGGGTTCTAGTCCCGGTTGGGGCGCCGGATTCTGTCCCGGTTGCCCCTCTTTCAGGCCACCTCTCTGCTGTGGCCCGGGAAGGCAGTGGAGGATGGCCCAAGTGCTTGGGCCCTGCACCCCATGGGAGACCAGGAGAAGCACCTGGCTCCTGCCATCGGATCAGCGCGGTGCGCCGGCCGCGGTGGCCATTGGAGGGTGAACCAACGGCAAAAGGAAGACCTTTCTCTCTGTCTCTTTCTCTCACTGTCCACTCTGCCTGTCAATAAATAAATAAATAAATAAAATAGAATCCCTGAGCATAACAATTCATTTCTCCAAACAGAACAGGGAGCTTGCAGATCCTGCTTCTGTGGAGACGGGACAGGACAGGTTGTTGCTCGCTCTGCAGCGTGGTGAAACATCTGGGTGGCCAGCAGAGGGCAGCATTGGAACAGGAGCGGAGACTGGTGTCAGGTGGTGCAGATGCTACATTTTAAGTCTGAGGGCCAGTGGGTCACCAACCAACAAACTAGATCCAAAGTCTCATCTGTTTGCCACCCGTCTTCCTCGCGCTGGGGTTCAGCTCTCTCACAGGGGTGCCGAGTGGGCCCACGAGACAGCCTGTGGGCTCCCTGGAGCAGGTGTCCTCTGCTAATCGCCTGGAGGTTCCCAGGTAGGCTTGTCTGAGCTCCCAGTGTCCAGGGCCAGCATAGGGGTTCCAGTAAAGTTCTCCCATGAAACACTTGCTCCATCCTGGAGGGGGCCTGGGCTCGAGACACAGGCCAGGGTTGGGCAGAACCGGGGTGCGACGCCATGTGAGACAGCGGAGAACCTTCATTCCCTTCCTTGACAGCCAGGGCTGGGCTGGGGCAGCTGGATCTTGCTCATGGCGCTAATGTGCACCAGCTGCCCACGTTCCCCCTCACCCTGCCACACCCAAGTCCTCTAGCCTTGGACCCAACCTTAGAGTCTGGGAGGGGAGGGTGCTGGTGTGGGCTGGGGTCCTAGCAGGGGGATGTTTTGCAGAGCTGCCCTCCCAGAGGTACGTGTTGATGACCCCCCAGGTTGGGCCCCCAGAAGAACTTTCTAAGCAGAAGCCCCACCTGTGGATGCTCAGACCTGAGCTTCATCAATGTGCTTTAGATACACTTGCTTTTTTTTTTTTTAAGACTTATTTGGGGCCGGCACCGCGGCTCACTAGGCTACTCCTCCGCCTTGTGGCACCGGCACACCGGGTTCTAGTCCCGGTTGGGGTGCCGGATTCTGTCCCGGTTGCCCCTCTTCCAGGCCAGCTCTCTGCTGTGGCCAGGGAGTGCAGTGGAGGATGGCCCAGGTGCTTGGGCCCTGCACCCCATGGGAGACCAGGATAAGTACCTGGCTCCTGCCTTCAGATCAGCATGGTGCGCCGGCCGCGGCGGCCATTGGAGGGTGAACCAACGGCAAAAGGAAGACCTTTCTCTCTGTCTCTCTCTCTCACTGTCCACTCTGCCTGTCAAAAAAAAAAAAAAAAACTTATTTGGGAGGCAGAGTTACAGAGACGGAGAGACAGAGAGGTCTTCCATCCGCTGACTCACTTCTCAAATGGCTGAAATGGCCAGAGTTGGGCTGATCTGAAGCCAGGAACTTCTTCCGGGTCTCTCACATAGGTGCAGGGGCCCAAACACTTGGGCCATCCTCTGCTGCTTTCCCAGGCACATTAGCAGGGAGCTGGATTGGAAGTGGAGCAGCTGAGTCTTGAACTGGCACCCACATGGGGTGCCAGTGCTGCAGGTGGAAGCTTAGCCTACTACGCCACAGTGCTGGCCCCCCAAGAAGGACGTTCTAAACAGAGGCCCTGCCTGGGGATGCTCTGAGACCTGAGCTTCATCAGTGTGCTTTGGACACACCAGCTGTGGGCTCCTTGAGGCAGAGGCGGGCACGGGCACTTGGGGGGAGGTGGGTCTGCAGTGGGACTGAGTGAGCCCCTGACTGTCCAGAGACCCCCGTCTGGAGCCAGCAGTAGACACAGCACTAGGTCATGCTCCAGTCTCGCCCCCTGTGGAACCCACAGCCCCGGACAGACTTGGCATCTCTTCCAGGAGAGGACAGAGGGGGCTCAGGAAGGGACAGCCTGGGTGGGTGGTGAGGAGACTGTGGGGTAGATCTCAGTGGGAAGGTGGGGGCAGGGTGGTCTGCTCCTCGCATCTCTTTGGAAGTCCTCCTCCCATCTACTCCCTCAGCCCCACGCCCCCCACCCCCACCCCCCAGCCTGGTCAGAAACTCTTTGGATTTGGAAATTTCACAGTTATGGCTAGGGTGGGAATGACGTCACAGCCCAGGGCTAATATTGTCAGGTGGCCGGGCCTTTCCAGCCTGGGCCAGGAGGTGGGGAGAAGGGCCCAAAAGTAAGGCTGCGTAGGCGGGACCACAAGGCACTTGCTTTATTGTTCCGGGACAGGGGACAATGGCAGGCCACCGAGGGGTCTGCTTGTGCCTCATATGAACCAACCTCAGGAGGTTCGTGTCACCCACAGGTCCCCCCCATAGGTTGAGGCTTTCGGTGGGGGCTGGGCTCTTGAGTAGGGCATGGCTAGCACCTGGGCCACACCCCCAGGCTCCAGGGGCATCCTTTGCATTTCCCGGGTCTGCCAAGCAGAGAGAGGGGGTCGTGGGAACTCCCCGCCAGCCCAGGCAGGCGTCCCCTCCCTGAACGTCCAGGCTGCCTGAGACAGCTGGAAGTCACTAGTAAGCTGGGACCTAAACTAAAAGGACCTCTTTGCAGAGGAGGGGTGGGCCTGGTGACCTGGAGGGGTGCTCCCTGCACCAGGACTGGGAGGACTCGCTCCCGTCTCCAAGGGCAAGGGCTTTTCCCAACACTCTGGGTCGGAATTGGGCTCAGTCAGGTCCCAGGGTGGAAGCTGCCCCTCTACCTGGGTGTAACCTGGGCACAGCTGGACAGAGTGGATGCTGAGGACGGCAGAGCCTGGCAGAGCCTCCTGGTGGGGGCAGGGGTGACCACAGACACCCTGGAGAGGAGTCTCTGTCTCCTCCTCCTTGCTGGGCTCTTGGGAGGAAGATGGGAGAATAAATACAGGGGCTTTGGGGAAGACCATGACTGGGGGCGGGGCCAGGCCTGCCAAGCACATGGATGTGGGCGTGGGGTTCCAGTGATTGCCCTGACCACAGCTTGAGGGCCCCATGCGCAGCTGTGCCAGGGCTCTCTGGGCCGGGGTGTCAAGTCTGGGGGTAGGTGTGTGAGCGGTGTGGATCTCAATGACCCTGGGCTGTGCCCAAGGGCTGAAGGTGGGTCAGTGTGAGCTGGGGGGCTGCTTTTTCTTCTTGCCTAGACAATGGCTCTTCAGGGGGCCCTGAGTGAGGCACTGGACTCCGCCCCCCTGCAGCAGAAATGAGTGAGGGGCAGCGTCCTAGGTGTTGTCCTCCACGGCCCCAGCCACCAGCTAACAAACTGAGTGGCATAGGGGCCGGGGTGTGTTCCTTCCTTGACCTTTAAGGTAAGCCCGATGTGGGCGACCAGCCGGGACGTCCAGGCCAGGCAGAGGCTAGAGCTGATGTCGGGTGGAGCTCACGCCAGAGCCAAGGGCTTGGAGCTGGGGCTGAGGTACATGGAAGGGCCAGCGGGGGCCGTGGGGGGTGTGGGCTCCAGCTCCATGAAGGCTGAGTAGAGGGTGGTGAGTTGCAGGTCTCCCAGGGCCCCGGAGCCCCCGCTGCCTGGTGGTGCCAAGTCGCCTGCCCCATTGCCTGTCTCTGCTAAACAGGGCCCTGGAGGGAAGCCGTGGGGTGGTGGTGGCGGCTGCGGCATCGAAGATGATGTCAGGGATGAGGTCACCAGTACCAGGGGGTCAAGGGCCAAGCTGTCGTCCTTCAGCTGTTCCCACAAGTTTCCTGGTTGGGGGAGAGAACAGGTGTCACCGGAAGGTACCGGAGAAGCCCTGACGGCCACCCCTCCCAACCCCAGCTCCTCACGGGTGGCAGAGAGCAGGCTGGGGGTGGCAAGGACTGGAAACTGACCCTGCCAGCAGCTGTGTGACCCCAGGCAGATGCTGAATCTCTCTGGCCCTCAGATTCCTCCTCCCATGTGGCATAGTCTGAAAGCCATAGATCCTGATGACCTCAGTGGTGAGGGCATTGGAGGGGGTCTGTGATTAGAGAAATGCCCACCGGAAGGGTTGATGCAAATGCTATTCTACCCAGGATTAGCCTGAGGGAACCCCCAGGAACTCCTCATGCTAGTTCCTGCCTAGACTCCCAAGGAAGTGGATCTCCAGCCCAGGCCAAGGATTTTCCCACCATGTACTGCTGGACTTGATGAAGGGGATGGACATATTTCCTTGGGCATCCTCCATGGAGCACAGCCAGGAAGCACACCTGACTCTGGGGAGAAAACAGTTCTGCACCTGATCCCTCTCTGTGTCATGCGACCTGCATAACATCAGGCTGGGGCCTGGGGCTCCTGCCCTGGGTATGGGGCCACAGGATCAGGAGGATTGCTTCAGCTGCCCGGACTCCATTCCTAACTCTCTTTCTGGCTGAGGGACGTTGAGTCTGTTCTCCCCATCTAGCAGGAGTTCCCCTGCCCAGGGCACACAGAGAGTCTGAGGCCTGGATCAGGAACACCTCTGAAACCTGCTGTGGCCAACACTGGGGCCTGGGGTTCACCAGAGTTTATTAGGGATTGAGGGCTTGGCTGCAAGCTGAGAAAGGCAGACAAGATGGCGTGGAATGAGACCCTGCCCCTGTACCCTGACCCCAAGTGCTCCAGGACCGTCCCACTCTGGGGTCTCGCCTTCCTGCCCTTCATTAGAAGATGAACTCTGATAGACGCAAGCGCTTCTGGGAATGTTCAGTCAGTCCCAGTCGAGAATGGAATAGAACACAGAGCCCTTTCCAGCCGAGCCAGAGCTGAGAGTGGCTTGAAGATGCGGTCAGCTGGAACATGTCCAGGGGTGCCAGGAGGAGGGCTGCAGGGGCAAGAGCGTTCCTCTTGGCCACTCCCAGCCCTCTGCTTTGGCCGACCATAAGCCAGCAGCTGGCAGGCTGCAGCCTGGAGACTTGGAGGGGCTGGGCCACACCGGCCGACCTGTCCCAACCCCCCCACTTCCCACCCCCTGCTCACCCTGGAAGTCGAAGTCGGTGAGAGAGGGGTTGATGGCATCCAGGTCAGTCCCGAGGTCTCCGTCTGGCAGGAGGGTGTCATGCACCGTCCTGGCTGGGGAAGGCTCAGCCAGAAGCTTGGTGCCGTGGCTGGGTGGGGTGTGGGCAGGTAGGGGTGAGTCCTGGGGGGTGCCTGGCTGGGCCCGCAGCTCAAGGTGCCCGTCTGGCTGTGGGAACAATGGCTGTGGGGGTCCAGGAGGGGCCAGGCCTGGTGAGAGGTGCGGGTATGTCGGCCCATAGCAGGAGGGCACGTGTCCCCCCAGTAGGTCTTGCAGGGGATTCTTGCCAGGAATGGGGCCCGGAGCTGGGTGGAGTGAGTGCAGCGGCGGAGGGAGCCCAGCGGTGGGTACCAGTGGCCGGATGGAGCTGGAGCCTGCCAGCCCAGGGGGAGGACAGCCCAGTAGCGGGGAGCCCAGCTTCTCCCTCTTGTCTCCAATGAGGCTGTCCAGCTCTTCTGTAAAGGCCCAAGAGAGGAGGAACACAGTGAGACCTCCCTCCCCCCAACCCTCCACAGCCTTGGGACCCTCAGGCCATTTCCTCCCCAGGAATTCTCTCTTTTTGGCTCACGAGTGCCTGGGTCCCTCCTGGCATGGCCCAGCAGCCTCACCTGGCTTGGCCATGCTTTTGCGCACAGCAATGGGGTCTTTCCGCTTCCACTTCTGTAGCTCCTCCTGCATCTTGTCGATCTTGGCCGGATTGAGGGCCCATAGGCAGCCCTTGCGAGAGGAACTGCCCGATTTGTTCTCCACCTTCTCGAAGCACTTGTTGAGGGAAAGGTTGTGACGGACAGAATTCTTCCAGCCATCAGGTGCCGTCTGCCAGAGCAGAGCAAAGCAAGAATTCAGGCTGCAGCAAGAGCCAGAGCTGGCTCAGGTCTGGGCTCTAGAACATTGCTTGGCCCCCTTCGGGCACAGAGCTGGCGCCCACTCTGGGCCTGTTGCCCTCTTTGGCACCCAGAATGTACTTGGTACCCTCAGTGGGGGGAATGGGGTGAGCAGGAACCTGGACCCCAAACTCTCCCTAAAATCTGCCTTTAATCCTACCCGCTTCCCTGGGGGGTGTAGGGTGATCCATACCACAGCCCCTGCTCCATGTGCCATCTGAAGTTGGGCCACTCTCAGCTGGGTGGTCAGGCCCATGCTGGACCCCTCTGGGAACAGGCAATTGGCTGCTCAGAGGTCTCCTGTGCCAGCTGCAGAAAGGGGCTTAGCAGGAGGCTCCATGAGAGGCACCCCTCCCCTGGGCCTCCTGTGGCCCCTCTGGGCCTGATTGGTAGAGGACAGGCCAGGTTGGAGGGTGTCTGGGTGTGTGCATGTGGCATGAATGTCCGTGGTCCACTGGGTGGGTGTATGTGGGGTGTGTGTTGTGAGCACGTGCCCACGTCCGCCCTAAGTGCCTCTCCCCTGTGCCAGCGGTGTCTCCTGTGAACGTGCATGGCTCTGTGTGAGAAAGTCTCTCGGGGTATGTGTGTGAGTACCCATGATTGTATGAGCGTGTAGGCGTGTGTGTTCGTGTGAGTGTGCCCAGGGGGTGTGCCCTGGTGGGGAGGCCGGCCCTCAGGCAGGAGGTGCTCGTGCCAACAGAATAAACACCCATTAGGAGGCCTGGTCATGCCACCAGTGCAGTAATTGTGCCCAGGGAGGGTTGTAAAAACCATTAGGCTGACTCAGTCGGGTGAGAGGCGGTGGTGGGGGTGCCAGTGGTGGGCCCCTGCCTCCCCCCGCCCCCAGCTCTGTTCCGCGCTCTGTGTCAGCCTTGAGCCCAGAGGGGCTGACTGAGGGCAGAGCACCTGCTCTGGCCGGGGTGGGGGGCTCCTTCCCCCTCAGCCCGTGGCCCTTCCTTTCAGCCCCAAGTCTCTGCTTAAGGAGGGGCGGCCACTCCCTCGTCCCCAGCTCACTTGCCCCGGGGAGAAGCCGAGCTGAATCACGCCCTGCAGAACCGGGCCCCGATGCCAGCGTCACTGCAAGCCGTTGGCAGGAGCTGCCAGAGCCTATCTTGGGGGCAGCTGGCGGGGAGGGGACTGGTGGTGACGACCCCCGTGGTTCCCAGGGTCACCGGGAGGGCTTCTGGAGCCACCGGAGCAGAAAGCTGGGGACCCACCTTCAGGTGCCAGGCAGCCTCCACAGGCAGCCAAAGCTCTGTCGCCCCATGGGCAGAGTTAATGGGCACTGGGGCTTTTATGGCCCCATAAATCCGTGACTTTGGGATGCCAGGGCAGCCCCCACCCCAGCCACTTCCTGTTTGGAAGAGGGATGGTCAGCACTAACAATTATGTCCAGTGGCCGGACACTTCCCTCGCCCCACGTCCCTGACTCATGCGGCTCTGGGACGCCCACATCAACTACCTTGGGCGTGACTGCTGTCCACCCCAGGTCCACTCTGCCCGGAAAAAAACAACCTGCAAATGGGAAGAGAGACCGAGGGCGCAGGGGACTTTTGAACTCATTCCTTAGGTGGGTTGGAGGGGAACTGTCGGAACGGAAGGATCTATGTGACAAGGGGTCCAACCTGACCATTTTGTAGATTGGGAAACTGAGACCCATGGAAGAAATCGCCTAGCCCTAAGTCATACAGGAGGCAGTGCCAGATCCCAGACTCCAACACTGTCCCCTAACCAAGGTGGACAAGGGTCCTGGCAGGGTCGGCCCATCGGGCTGGCCTCTCCAGCTGGGGCCTGTCCCATCCACACGAATGCTTCCCCTCTGAAGTCCAACGTAAACTCGGGGGTGAGGCAACTGGCTAAGAACAACAACGAGAACCACAAGAGAAAAAAGCTGTTAGACCTCTTCACTCTTCAGGCCCATAAAACAGGGATTACACGGCTCCCAGGAAAAATAATTAAGCCAGGAAGATGAGCTGCAGGGAGGGGCTTGGGGGCCAGGCTGGGAGTTGTCTGGGAGGGAGTGCTGAGAGCAGTGGGCGGAGCCCTCCATCCTCTTTCTGGGGCCTGGCTCCTTGAAGCCCTAGAGGAAGCCCCCAGAGCTGGAGGGGTCAGGAAGAGTTTGGCCCCCTGACACGCTGGGGGCTGGGGGCTGTCTGGATACAGGTTTTCCCCCTTCTCTTCTCCCTTCCAGAACCTCAGGCAACCAGCATTCCTGGCCAGACCACTCCACAATTTTGCCTACTCCTCAGGAGCACACACTGGCTGGCTGCCAATTACCCCTGTTTGGGACAACCCGGGAGATGGGGATGGAGGTGGTGGCAGGGGGAGGCTGGTGGTAGGAGGCTCCGGCTGGCAGGTGGAGCTGGGTTATGTGCAGCTCCTGCGCTCTGCCTGACCAGCAGATGAGACTGTAGCCATCAGAGTGCAGGTGCTAAAAGGCACGCACAAGCTCAGCTCGTCTGTTCTACAGCCGCCCCTCCGTGTCCGGCAGTGAGGGGCAGTGGATGGTCTGTGAAGCTAAACAGCTTGACCCGCTTGCTGTGTGACCTGGGGCAGATGGATCACCGTGTCTGATGGGTTTGTCCATCTAGGAAAGAGGGCACCTGTCCTGCCTCTAGGGTTGGAGGGGGAGGAGTTGGATCGAGGTCCCTGAAGCCCTTTTTGTGGATGACTGGAATTGGTCCTGTGCAGTGGTCGAGGGAGAGGGAGGTGAGCCAGCCAGTTCCCTGGGACACTCGGAGACTGGGAAGCCCACACCCTGGTCTCTGGCAGAACTGCAGCTCAGCCTGCTGCCCACAGAGGCAGATCCTAATCTCACCCTGGAAGGCACCTGTGTCACCTGGACTGACCAGCTCCGGCCCCAAGTCTGCAGCCCCACAGCATTCTGGGGGTAGGGATGGGGACAGAGTCTCCTGCCATTTCCAGCTTCCTCTCCCCATTTGGCTTGGGTGGCCATTCCCCGAAGCCTATCAGGGCTGACTTGTCCACCTTCTCCCAGCATAAGGTCTCCCTCCAGGCTGCTCTGCAACCTTGGGGCAGCCGCTTGCACTCTCTGTTCCCCACAAAGAGCGCCTGCTTTGGGACGTCTGTCCCTGTACTCGGGTAGGGGTGGGGCAAAGCCTTTCCCGGCCCAGCTTGTCCAGGACGTGGGGGCAGTGGGGTGCAGATGGAGCTCGCACTCACCTTGAAGTAAGGAAAGTGCTCCGTCATGAAGTTGTAGATCTCACTGACGGGAAGACTTCCAGTTTTACTGTTCTTCAGGGCCATGAAGATGAGGATGCTGAAGAGAGACAGAGAGCCCCTGAGAGCCCGGACCTCTGCCCAGATCCTGCGCCCGCCCGGGGTTGAGGTTGGAAGGAGAGGGCATGGGAGTGGAGCCTGGCATCAGGCATCACAGCTATGCAAGAGTCTTGTGGGCTGTGAGAAGCCCGGGATGCCCTCCTGGCTTAGTTGCTCGGTGGCTGTGTGACCTTGGGTGAGTGTCTGAACCTCTCTGAGCTGCAGTTTCCTGGGCTTTGAGTGGTCTGTGAGCCCCTGTGATGTGCCTGGCGTGCATCTACGCGCTCTTACTGAATCCTCCCAACAGTCCGGATTGCTGTCCTCCTGACCTTTTCCTTTTTTTTAATGATGAATAATCAGAGGCTCAGAGAGATTAAGTAACTCGCCTGAGGTTTCACAGCCAGTAAATTCCAGAGCCTGGCCTTGAACCCAGTTCTCCTGGACTGCAAGGCCCACCTGTGCTCCCTTCTGCACACCATCTTCCCTCCCACAAACCCCGTCTCGGTGCTCCTGACCGATGTTTAAGTGCCTCTTCCTCCCACTGAGCTCACATTGGCTGCAAACTTGACCTCCACCTGGGTCCTGGCACACATTAGGTCAAGGGTCACCACTGGCTGGATGAACGGAAGGCCAAATGGGAGGGTCTCCCAAACAGTCCGGGTGTTGCCAGCACTTAAAATCCTGCGCAGAGATGTGCCTCCAGATCCCACAAATGGTGGCCAGTGGAGACCCATCTGCCGCCCCCATCCCTCACTGGCTTGATGGAGAGCTTGGAGTGGGGCTTCTCTCTGCATCCAGAGAGAGAAGGGGAAGGCAGCCAGCATCCGCCCTGAGCTCTCAGCCGCAGGGCCCAGGAGCTTAGACCTCAGCAGGCTCGTCCCCAGGCCACCAGCATCTGCCCAGCTGAGCCAGACGGGACGCCCTGGGGTTGGATGAAAGCTCAGACTTGATCCAGTCTGTTCACCTGCTCCTTGCAGGAATCCTCTCTCCAGAACCCACTTCTACTTCCTGCCATTACCCTGGCACCCCAGGACTCCATGCCTCGGTTTCCCTAGGGGCCCTCCCTCCTTCCGCCCCAGGGATGCTGGGAAGGTACCTGTAGGAGTAGATGGGTTTGGGGAAGAGCGGCTGGTGCCCATCAGTGCCAGCCTGGGGTGCGATCCGCTGGTAGGGATAGTGTGACGAGCCCAGGTAGGGCACCGGGTAGCTGCCGCCACCTGGCGAGTACTGCAGAGGTCAAAGGGGCAGAGTGATCACCATGGTCCCCAGCCTTCCCGAGGACCGGGCGCCCCTCCCCTCCTTCACATAGGAGGGGACTTGAAAACGTTCACAGAAGGCGCAGTTGAGCGGTGACGCATGTTGTCCACAGACTGTCTGAAGCCCCTCCACATCCGGATTCTCCCAGCCCACGGCAGAGCATCCGAGGGGCTGGGGGAGATCCGGCCCAAGCTGTTCAGAATTGCAGAGACCTCAGAGCTGCCTCCCTCCTGCTTTCTCCTCTTGGCGCTTGCGGTGCCCTGTTGCCATGGTGATGGGAGGAGGGCCTGGCCCCTGGCACCTGGGCTGGTCCAAGGCTCCCTTACATCTCCTGGCAGAGCCAGGCCGGAAGTGGGATGTCCAGCCTAGGCGTTTGCTGGGCACTGCCACCTTTTACGAGTTTCAGTGGCTCTTTGAAAGAGCCGGTCATGGTGGTGGGCAGGTGGAGGTGGGAGGTGGTTTTACGGTGAAGGCGTGGCCGCGGTGCCAGGGACGGGGTTTTATGGAGGCAGGGGGCAGGAGACTCTCACTCCCCCAGCTGCTCCAGGCTGCAGTACTCTTTCCAGGTCACCAGAGACACTTAGTGCCTGAGTCACCCTCTCTCCAGGCTCCATAAAGCCCTGGGTGCGGCCATCTTGTTAGGGGAGGGGGTACAGACTACAGAGGGCATCAAAGCAGGGCTGGGCATGGTGAGGCCATTTGAGGACTGGTGGCCCCTCAGCCCTGCTGTAGCTCAGAGCTGGATGGGGCAGGCTGCCCCAGGGACACCTCCTACCCTGGGTCAGACAGTGAGCCTCAGGACAGCTTCAGCCAGTCCAGCCAGGCCACCTCGGGGCCAGGAGGACGTCCCCTTCCTGCGTCCCCTGTGCTTCCCTCCAAATCTTTCTTTCACTCACAAAGCAGGGCAGCTCGACCCCCCCACCCCTACCCCACCTTCTGCCTGCCTCCCTGACTTGGCCAAGATCAGGGCCAATGCCACAGAGCTGGGAGTAGAACCTGCTCCACAGGCAGGGCCTGTCTCGGTGCCAGGCTGCAGGTGGATGGAGCCGTGCACTGGGCAGTCACTTGCTCTGTCTTGCCCGGTGACTCTGGGAGCTGCCGGGCTGCTCTGGGGCTCTCTTCTTTCTCTTTTTTAAAAAGCTCCAGCGCATGCCAGTGTGGGGCAATTACTTGGCATCCTGTGCACTTGGGAGGAGCTGAAGCTGGGCAGTCGGGTGGGGAAGGGGGGAAGGCCAAAAATGATGGAGCTCGCTAATCCCCCACCTGGTGTGCACCCTCTTTAGGCTGAAGGGAAGTTTGAGGCCAAGGTCACATCTCAAGAGTGGGGCTGACCCAGGCAGGAGCCCACCACTCCCGCCTTGCTTGCCTTGTGTGCCGTACACCACACAGCCATTTCTGTTCTCTCTGCCCTGACTCCGTCCAGGATGGCTCCCCTCCTTCCTCCCTTCTGGGTTCACATTATGGGCCTGCCCCGGTCTCAGCCCCACTTTCTCTCTTATTTGAGACCTCTCGGGTCCTACCAGGAGCTCAGACAAGCCTTGCCTGCCCCCTGCCCTGGGTGGCCTTGCTACCTTCACCTGCGCATCCAGACGTGTGCATGTGTGCGCACACACACAGCACTCTGAACCCCCAGGGAAGCCTCCCACTTCCCCCAGACCCACCTGGTGGAATGGGGGCTGGGAGGGGCAGTACACGTGCTGCAGCGGGGGCTGGTAGCAGTACATCCCAGGGCCATTCTCCAGGGCCGGGGGCTTGAGCTTGACCTCTGAACCCTGCTGGAAGAGAAAGCAGATGAGCAGGTTGAGTCTTATTTTTCTCCCTTCCTCTTTCCTGTGTTCTGAACCTTACGCAAAAACTACTCCACCTCCCCCAAAGCTTATCCCTAGAGAAGGAACAGAAGACAGAGGAGGGCGAGGATTTTCGCAGAGGAGCTGAGCCAGTCAGCAGCGGAGCTGAGGCTGGAACTCAAAGTGCTCCCAGCCTCCCGCCCCACTGCAGGTGCGCAGCTGAGGCTGAGCTGTCCAGAGGAGTGGGAGAAGCTTGGCAATAGGCATGCGGAGGCTGGGGTAGGGCCCGAGATCTCTGTGAGGCCCACACATGGAGCTCTACTCTGGATAGGAACAGGAGGGTGTGCAGCTAGGTCCTGGAAGGCAGACCGGCTGAGAGAGGGGTGGGCTGCGCTTCCAGGGCTTCCTAGGGGCCTTGGGAAGCCAGCATCTGGGCCCCGAGGGGCCAATCAGCTGTGACCTCTCTCTGGGTGTGCCCTGGGGTTGCTGATGCCGAGATTGCCACAATCATAGAATCTCGGGCCTGGAAGGGCTGAGAGCGCCTGTGTCCAACCCCTTCATCTGACAGATGATGGGGCTGAGCCCAAGGAGGGGAAGCGATGTGCGCAAGGTAACCCAACAAGAGGCTCCGTGAGCTGTGGGTCCCCAGCCCCAGGCTCCTCTCCGCTGTGCAGGGGTAAATGTGTGGATTCAGAGCCCAGCCTCATCCTTCACAGGCCGGGGGGACACCTGGGGTAAGTCACTTGACGTCTACCAGCCTCAGTTTCCTCATCTGAAAAATGGGGCTGGTGGGAACTCCCTGGAGGGTTGTTGTGGAGATTAAATAGGGGCACTTTAAGAAAAGCAGCTGGAGGAATGACCAGGCGCTGGTGCTGAGTGGGCACTGGGGGCAGCAGCTGATCCGATGGGGCCCTCGCTGTGCTGCTGTCCTGTTCCAGGAACCTGAAGAGGAGCTGGCAAAGGGCTCCAGAACAGAGTCAGGTCCTGTCCTGGCTGCACCTGATGCATGGCCACCAGGGACTTTTGTGGGGACTGGGGAGGCAGGGGGAGCTTGGGTCTGGAATGTGCACCTGTTTGAAAGCAAGAGGTGAGGAGGGCAGGTGGGCATCAGCCTGGGCCAAACCCACTCCATCACTGCCTCAGGGACCTCCAGACCAGGGCTGAGAAGTGGGGGGAGTCAAGCTCTCCTTAACCTTCCTCTTCCCAAAGCAATAGGCGGGTCCTGTTAACCTGAATCTTCCAGGGGCTCAGAGGGGTCCAGTGATGTGTCAGAGATCACACGGCGGGGGCATGGCTTTGGAAGGACACGTGGGCCTTCCTGGTACTTTCAAGGTCTTTCCAGGGGAGCACGCAGGCCTTGTTCTGTGCAAAGCGTGGGGCCAGGAAGGGCCTCTTCAGTCCGCTCTCACTGCAGCTCTGAACCCTGATGCCGGAGCGGGTGACTGGGCCTCTCTGGCTCCTCCTAAACCCTTCCTCTCAGCCCCTGGGATGTTGCTGCGTCTGATGCTTGCATATGGCGGTTAGGGCTGCCTGGGCGTCCTCGCACTTAAGCAGAGAAGTCGTGCACTGGAATCCTGACTCAGGAACTTCTGGAGGTTGCCAGCATCCTTAGCCTGACCCGACTCCTCCACCTCGCTCCCTCATGCATGGGCCAAACCAGTATCGCCTCTCCATCAGCTGGAGGGCCCAGTACAAGGTTGAGAGGCCCCAACTCTCTGAGCCTGTGGCTTCCTTGTGCATGCTCATCTTGAGCAGGAAAGGTCTGGAAGGAGCAAGTGGGGAGTTTGAGCTCAGAGGACCCAAGACAGCTGGGAGAGGGATGCCCGCCGGCCGCTGGTACTCACCAGGACTTGGGGGCTGTGCTCCTGGCTTGGGTAGGGGAGCCCATTGCACCAGGCCTCTGCAGGGAAGCCAGGCAGGAAGGCCTCGGGCTCCCCCACATCCACCGGGATCTCCTCGAAGGCCTCCAGCGGCCCCGGGGTCTTAAAGGAGTGTCCTTGGAGGGCCAGTGCCGCCTGCGCCTCGGGGAAGACGTCCTCGTGGACATGCCGCTTGTACGGGTGGAAAGGCACGTGGCTGCCCTTGAGGAAGCGCCCGGGGCTGCTTGCTGGGCCCTCCTCAAAGCCGAAGCTGGGGTACTTGTCCGATGGTGAGAGCCGGAAGGGGCCCGGGCCGGGCCCGGGGGGGCAGTGGCCCTGGACTTGCTCGGGGCCCGGTGACGCAATGCTGGGGCTGTGCGGGGGCAGGGAGGGTGCCTCTTCTGGAGGGCCGTCGGGCATGAATGAGGAGCAGCTGAAGCCGGTGTGCTTCTGGGTGGACAGAGGGGAGACAGCCTGTGAGGGGCCGAGGGAGCAGGCCCCGGACTCTGCCGAGATGCTGCTCTGTGCTGGGGTAAGGGTCTGAGGCTGAGCTCTGGGTGCCCCTGCCTTTTGGGGGGGGGACACTGCTGTGACCCTGTGATGCCCCAAGTCTACTGAGACTGCACCCCTGTTCTGGGGAAGCCCCTCCCCCACTGAAGGGATGAGCAGAGGCCTGTGTCTGGACACTTCTGGGGCCTGGGGTCGGCGAGGACTTGTTTGCTGGTGGAAGGGACAGGCAGACTCTGGGAAGTCCCTGTATGGGGTGGGGACTGGTCCTCCTGTTCCCTGCACAGCCCTCAGGCCTTGGCCGAAGCCCAGACCTCGGTGCTGGGTACTTACACTCTGCGGGGCAGGGGAGCCCGGGAGGCCCGGCGCCTGCATGACGTCCCCTCGGGGCTCGCCCTCCAGCCTGGCGGAGCCCGGCAGTGAGACGTCAGACTGTGGCGGGAGGAGCGACACCATCACCCAGTCCTGGCCTCGAAGAAAGCCGGCTGTGATGAGAGTGAGGACCGACATCCAGGAGTGACCAATTCCAAGCCACCACCTCCGCCCACTCACCCCCACTCCCGGCCTGGGACCCTGCTCCAGCCGACAGAGAAAGAGAGATGAAGACACAGGTAGAGACAGAGGGGAAGGGAATCAAGGGGCGCCTTTGGATGAGGGGCTTGGCGGTCCCTGAGATTTGCCCCTGCAGAGTTCTGAACCAGTGTCCCCACGTTCCCAGCCAGACTCTGCCTCTGGCTCCTTCTGCTAGATCCCCTGTGTCTACAACAAAGGATAGGACTGGGTGACTCTGATTGGTGGTTGGGCAGGTCCCGAGAAGACCTGGGGAGCTGGGGGAACTGTAGCTGCATCAGGCCTGGGCTGGGGGCAATCCCCACAAAGCTGGTGACACAGCCCCCTGCAGAGGCTGGGACTATGTTGTGACTCCTAGTTCCTTAGCCTGGCTGGCATGATCACAGTGGGGACTGAGGACTCAAAGGGGTCCTAGGTCCTGGTGGCCCTGTGAGCCTGGCAGACAGTGGAGGTGCTCCCAGGCCCCCCTTTCTGTTTTCACTCACATCCTCCAAGCTCTGTGACCTGAAACTGCACAGGTCCCAGCCCCTTTCTGAGCTTTCAGACTCCCCCATGAGAAACCAAGGGCTTGGACCAGATGATTGATGCCCGTGAGCTTTTTCTGCTCAGACCTTCCAGGATGAAGGAGGACCCTGTCCTCAGCACCGTGGAGTGGCTAAGAGGACTCGGGGCACAAAGCCAGGCCCGGCCCTCCACACGAGCTGTGTCAGCAACGCTCTCTGCACTTCCACAGCGCGGTCTGCACAGCAGGGGGAGTGGTGGGACCTCCCTCGTAGGGACGCTGTGCGTGTTCAAGGAAAGCATGTCTGGAGTAGCGAGCACACTCTGCGGGGCACACATCGGTGCTCAGAACGGTGTGATGTGGCTCTTAGCAGGACGAGCCTCAGCCCCTTTTTTTTGCCAGCTGCTCTTGAATCCATTCCTCCCCCTGCCCCCGCAGTGGTCTCTGATAAGTGACCATTTGCTGAGGGCTTGCTCCAAGCTGGCCCCTGGGCAAATGGCTCGGGTGCTTTTTTTCTCACTGGTTCATCAGAACAAACCCCCGAGGAAGGCACGCTATGAACCCCACTGTCCAAAGACGGCAATTGAGGCGCAGAGGCCTTATGGGACTTGCCCAAGTCACACCAATGCTCGACAGGCTCGGGGTTCTAACTCAGATCTGGGTCCGCATACCCTCGTGGTTTCCTCAGGGTCAGGGTCAGGGTGGGATAGGTTGGGGGCCAGGCAGCAAGAAAAGCCTGAGACTTATGGTTATGCCTCCTGCACCCTCTTGAGCCAGAGCAGGTGCCCTGCCGCTCCCAATCATGCCGTTCAGGGAGCCCCGGGAGGGAGAGTTGGCCCTTAGACCCACAGTGCCCATCCAGAACACGGCACATCTTTGCTTGGTAAGTCATCGCCTTCCTTTGACAGAGGAGGTAGTGGGGGCCCAAAGTCCCACAGGGGCTCGGTGGCAGAGAAGGCTGCTGGGTGGGGTCCAGATGGGGGGCCTGGAGGGAGGCTCTCCCGCCCCTTTAAGAGTCCCTACAGCCCCATCTCAAGTCCCGGTGCCTGCACACTCGGCAATGCTAAATGTGGCGTGACTGGGAAGCGCCGAGCTGGCCGTAACAGGATACGGCAAGGGAGCAGGCATGGGGCCCGAGGTGTGGGGTAGCCCATCTCTGGCTCCGCATGACTGCCTGGGTCTGGCCCTTGCTCCCTGGACAGCTCCTCCTGGACTGCTTGGGCCTGCCTGCCACGCCTCGCCCCAGCCCAGCGCTGCCTTCCCGGGAGGGGGTGTCGTTGGCTTGGCGTCTTCCCAAGGCGTCCCCTGATCCTCCAGATGTAAGGCCAGGGCTCTTCCCCCTCCCCAGGAACTCGCTCACTGGAACCCGGAGAGGGCTGGTCACCCCCTCTCAAGGTAGCACAGTGGCGAAGAGTCAGGGTTTGCACTGGGACCCACCTGAGTTTTAAGTTGCAGTTTTGCCACTTTCTGGCTGCGACTTTGGACAAACTCTCTGAATCCCACTTTCCTCACCTGAGAAATGGGGCACACGTGGACCCACCTCCCAGACCACCGTGAAGATGAAGTCTGTGGGGGCACAGAAAATGTTCAAACAGGGGCTGGTGTTGTGGTACCGCCGCTTAAACCGCTGCTTGTGCTGCCAGTATCTCATGTTGGAGGGCTGGTTTGAGTCCCTGCTGCTCAGCTTCTGATCCAGCTCCCTGCTATTGTACCCAGAAAGGCTGTGGAAGATGGCCCAAGAGCTTGTGCCTTTGCCACCGATGTCAGAGACCAGGATGGAGCCCCTGGCCTAAACCTGGGTTGTTGCAGCCATCTGGGGAGTGAACCAGCAGATGGAAGTTCCCTCTGAGTTTTTCCCTTTCTCTCTGCCACTCTACCTTCCTTCCCTCCCTCCCTCCCTCCCTCTCCCTCCCTCCCTCCCTCCCTCCCTCCCTCCCTCCCTCCCTCCCTCCCTCCCTCCTTTCTTTCTTTCTTTCTTTCTTTCTTTCTTTCTTTCTTTCTTTCTTTCTTTCTTTCTTTCTTTCTTTCTTAAGATTTATTTATTTATTTGAAAGGCAGAGCTATCGAGAGGCAGAGAGAGAGGTCTTCCATATGCTGGTTCACGCCCCAGGTGGCCACATAACCAGAGCTAAGCTGATCCAGAGCCAGGAGCTTCTTCTGGGTCTCCCATGCAGGTGCAGGGGTCCAAGGACTTGGGCCATCTTCCACTGCTTTCCCAGGCCACAGCAGAGAGCTGGATCGGAGGTAGAGCAGCCAGGACACGAACCAGCGTCCATATGGATACTGGCACTACAGGCAGAGGCTTTATCCACTATGCCACAGTGCCAGCCCCAACTCTACTTTTCAAATTAATCAATCAGTCCTTAAAAAAAAAAACAAACAAAAACCACAAAGGCACAAAACCCCACATCGCCGTATATACACCTGCCCTCCATTACCCAGGTGTGGCTGGGCCAAGCAGCCTCTGGCTCCAGGCTCAACAGTTTCCCTAAAGCTCTCGCTTCTCCAGGCTGCGGGCCTGGGAAGGTTGACTGATGACCCACAGCCTCGTGGCCCTTCCTGCCTGCCCGGCCTTGGGCCCTCGCTCAGCCTAGCCGCAGGGGGCCCAGATGCAGCCCTGCTCCTTCAGAGACAGAACCTGAAGAGGCGCCCCCAGCCCTAGCGCCGGCCTGCATCCTCTCCTGAGGGCTTCAGCCGGAGGACCTCCTCCCTCCAGCCTCGTCCCAGCCCCTACTCCCCAGGCCATTATCTGTGGCCTGGCTGGGTCTTTGCATGTCATTAACTGAAGCCTTATTTCACAGCCATGACTGTCATACCCTGATGTTTGCCAAACCATCACCTTACCTCCTCCAAGGCCCCGGGGACAGGATTAGAACCAGAACTCTCCTTGGAGTTCAGAGACCTACCCCTTCCTTTGCACTGAGGAAACAGGACTGTCTCAGTGATGGCCCCTGAGGCAGTGGCCACAGCACCCCCGGGGGTCCCTCAGCTTGAGTTCCACCAATGAGGCCCAGAACAGAGGCGAAGAGACCACGGGGGGCCACAGGCAACCCTCAGCCAGCCACACTCAAAAGGGTCCTCCCGCCTCAGGGCAGTGGGGCTGGGCCGAGGGGCTCCAGTCCAGTGCACAGGGAAGGGCTCACTGTCGGGGCGGCGCCAGGTGGTTCTGGGTGGTTCTGCCCAGAACTCCTCTGAGCTGGCCAGCCCAGCTGCTGAGGCTGAATGGTCTCGAGTCAGGACTGGGTTTGCATCCCCACAACTGTGGGAATTTGGTTGGACAAGGTACTCCACTTCCTTCCCTGGGCCTCGTTTTCCTCGTCTGTAAACTGGGACTAATAATACATGCCCCTCTGGAGAATTAGATGAACGATTGCTTGTAAATAGCTGAACACATAGTTCGTGCTTAATAAATGATAGCTATTATTAATAATTAGCAGTGGGGCCGAGTTAATATCAGGCATGAGCTCTCTGGGGGAGAGGGAGGGGGAGCAGAGGGAACTCCCCTTTCCTGCCTCCGTCGCGCCGTCTCCTTGCCGTGACCCTCCCTCGCTGCCGAGGCTAGGCTGCTTTTCTCTAGGTGCTGGCCTCAGCGGTCACTCCAGCCTCTCCCCAGGGACTGGAGTGGAAGGGGAGTGGGGATGCTGTTGTCGCGGGTCTGTCGGGAGGCCTTCTGATGCCCCCAGTGTCCTGGAGCTGGCATCTGCATTCAGCAGGAATCCTTCACCGAAGCCTAACCTTTAGCCTATCTAGTTCAGGTTCAGGGAGCATGAGGGGGTGTGGGCCAGCTGTGGTCCAAGGTCAGAGGTCCAGTCAGCCCTCGTCCATCCCCAGATCACTTTGATGACCCATCACTTCCCGGGGGCTCCCCCAGCCCAAACAGGCCCTCTCCTGGGCCACAGCCAGGGCTCTCCCTGCTGGACTGTGCCCTGAGGTCCTCGGCTGTCGTCTACAGAACATTCCACAGTCTACTCTGCACTTCGATGTCTGCCATCTCACCCCGTGGGGCGAGGGAGCCAGTGGGGGCTGCTCTCCTCTCAGTTCCACGTCTGCTGCAGTCAGTCCGCATCAGCCATGATGACAGTGTTTGCTCACGGAGCTTAGTGAATAACTGCAAACCAGAGTCTTAAGAACTGCACAAGTGGGCCAGTGTGTGGCCCAGCAGGTTAAGCTGCTACCTGCAATGCCTGAATCCCATACGAACGCTTGTTGGAGTTCTGGCTGCTCCACTTCTGATCCAGCTCCCTGCTAATGCGCCTGGGAAAGCAGTGCAAGGTGGCCCGAGTGCTTTGACCCCTGCACCCATGTGGGAGACCCGAATGGAGTTCCTGGCTCCTGGCTTCAGCCTGGCCCAGCTCTGGCTGTTGCAGCCATTTGGAAGATGGAAGGTCTCCATCTCTCTGTCTCTCCCACTCT